AGTTCACCCATCTTATTAGTCAGACTCCTAGCATTTGTGTAGAAGCACTTTATAAATTTGCCACTGGTTATTTGTCTGCCCTTCCCTGATGCATTGGATTCCTTTGTATGCGGTTGTTTGTCAGCTCTGGCCCATGGTTTGCCCTCTCCCCTCCTCTCTTTCCAACTATAGCTTAGAGAATCTCTATCAACGGATTCTCCTCTAAGAGAAGTCTCTCACCAGACTAACACAGCTACATTTCTATTACTATTATACACACACAGAAAGAGGGGGGGGGTGATAAAAATGGTTAATTGTTGGACATAGTGCAGTCTGAGAACCGAAATTTCCATAACATCACTGAACACGGTGGCTAAGTTTGTGCTGGTAAGAAATGCTGCCCTTGATTCTTGCGTGTGACAGTATTTTTTTTTACCTGGGATACAGTTGCACATTATAAGCACATTGCTTGGATACTATGTATGCCCTTTAACATCAAGACCATAAGCCAAAGCTGAGACCGTGCAGTGAGTCTAGGGAGAAGTGAATTTTGAACCATACAACCTGCAATTTGCAATAGTTTAAAACTTCTGAGCATGTCTTTTTCCAGAAAAAGCTCAGTGACACAGTTGCATACAACTTTTGCTTCAGGCTTGCCCGAGGGAGTTTGTAACACCTATTGCACATGTAATCTCTGCTTATCACATATCTACTATAACTTCCTATTAATACCAGAGAAACCGACTCTCTTCTCTTTTCCTATACACAAGCCCATTGTCTGTTTCCTAAAACATTACCCAAGTTACTAGATGCAATGTCTGAGAATGACTTCCTCTCAATCCATTTAAGCAAGTAGGATAGTTTATCTAGCTAATTGTTATGGGTGCTTTCCCAGGTAGTATATACTACAGGTTTAATTTTGGGTTTGTCTGCTGCCTTACAGGTTCCTATTTTGAATGCTAGAAAGTAATGGATAGACAAAAACAAGAAAAAAGATGAAGCATCTTTTCTTAATTTAAGGGAAAGAAGAACTCCACCAATATCTTTTCCAGAATCTTAACTCGTGTAAGAAAAAAATGATCTGGCTCCTTTTAAAATTATTTTGATGTTGATCATGGTTGTTTTTCTGAAAGAATGTATGGCACGATATCAGGGCAATAAATCCCATGTTTCCAGTTCATCCCTCAGACTCTCCACTGCCTTCACTGAAGTTATACCAGGAACTAGTTAGGCCAGAAGAAAAATCAAGAATAGGAATTTGCAATGAGTAATCAATCTCATTTTTATTCTATTGTTGAGCTAAAGAGGTCTCAAGTCATCTACCATTTTGTCACACTCAAAACACTCCAGTGCCCAGAACTAACAAACTGAATTATTAGAAACATTTTGAACAACTTTTTGTCTAAAAATGAATTGCAGGTAACAGATAATTCTGAAAAACCAAGCAGGCTATTTACAAAATTTGTTTAGTGAAAGACAAAAATCAGTCATGGAGGTTGTATTTCCAATGCTATGATAGTGAGGATCCTATAAATTCTTGGACAGCTGGATGGATGGAATTTATATCTGGGTTTTAAGTCACTGCAGAAGAGTAGTAGCCTGTCTTTAGCAATGAAACAGAACAAATAACAAACAAGGGCTGGTTACATTTTAGGGCAAGGTTTCCATGCTATGTCTCCCTTAATCTTATTTAGGATAATAAACATTGAGGGACTCTCCATTCCTGTGCCGTGATTCAGCAAAATACTTTTCCCATGCCTAACTTTAAACCAGGGCTACTCGATGTGCGGCTCGTGGCTAGCATGCCCATGGCCTATTTCAGTGTTTCCCAAATGTATTTGGCCACGGAACCCTTTGCAGCTTAAAAGAAATTCAAGAAGGGGCGGGGAAGTGCCTCTTTTTTGTGGAACCCTTACTTTCCCTTCGTGGAACCCCAGGGTTCCACGGAGCACCAATTGGGAAACACTGGCCTATTTGTTTGCAGCCCACAGTGTGGTTTGTTTTTATGTAAGGCTCAACACACGGCTCACGGGTGGGATCCTTTGAACATGGCCTCCACTGGGAACACACTCCACAACGGCGAGGTGTCTCCCAGGCAGGGTGAGCACTGAAAGACACAAGCAGACGGGCTGGCTGGATCAGACGGGTACAAGGTGTCGGCGTTTCTAGCCCCCAGGGAGGAGATGATGGGAGTACCGGTGCATTGTGAGAAGTGCTTTGTATTCATGCCCATCAGTGTGAAATAAGCTATTTGCATATATATTTGCATGTTTATGCAACCACACTTAAGTTGCGGCCCTCAGCATGTGCTGAGAGTATCATTGCGGTCCCCAGAGCTTCCAAAGTTGAGTAGCCCTGCTTTAAACGCATGAATGGTCCATGTGGCGGGGTCTCCCCGAAAGTGGGGTGGCCTAACGGTTAGACCCCCAATTTAGCAGGGTGCAGAAAGGGGTGCAGCCCCCTGCTGCTGTTGCCCCAAGCCTGGGAACTCCAGCCTTTTATCTGGGTATAGTTCTGAAATTTGGAGCGTGGCCCCAAGCGTCCTAATTTCCCCCTCCTTCACGAAGCTTCCTCCGGTTCCCCCTCCTTTGCCCCAGGGGGTTGGGTTGGAGGCTTATGTGCCTGGGAGCTGGCCCAGTAGATGGGTTCTGGCTCTGGTCCTGAAGACAACAGAACTAGCTCCTGTCCCCTTGCTGGTCAGCCCCTAACTGAGCCAGGCCCCTACCTTTTATGCTCCCTCCAGGCCTGGCATTGGCTGCAGGTAAAGCAGGGTGGGGCTAGCTAGACAAAAAGGCCTTGTTTAGCCCCTGCACTGCCAGGCCCTCCTCTCACTCCCTGACAATCCATTTAAAGCATGGGTGGGAAACCTAAAGCCTGATGACCAGATGTGGCCCCAGGCTTGCCTGGATCCAGCCCCCAAGGCTGGGGGTTCCCCCAGCATTGGGAGCCTGTACTGGCGCTCCAGCCCCCTACCATCTTCCCACAGGGCTGAAGAACACAAAACCTACTAGCCTGGGCTCCTTTAGGCTCTGGTGTGCGAGGGGAAAGTCTTTCTCCTTCTCATTCAGGGCACACATAAGTGAGGGTTTGTTTTTATTTTTTGCTTCTCACTTTTGTGCGACTCCCGACTCATTTTTCTGTGGGTCAGCAGCCCCCACCCCTGTTTTAAAGCCAGTAGAGCTGCTTGGTTTTTTAAAGTTAGTCCCCTTAAGTATCTTGCTGAATTTTTGGCTGGGGAATCAGGTCCTGTCTGAATACAATCATTGTTCTCCACTGGATTTTTAAAAGATTTTAATAAGGTTGGGCCTGATTCTAACTTGCATTAATCCCACTTCCCACCACCTTGGCAATATAAAAGGGGTGAAAACCAAGTAAAATCTCACCCACTTTACATATGTTTTCTTTGTAAAGCCCCTTTGCGCTGCCAGCATTATCTTGGTGTACGTATATGAGAACCTGGCCCAAATGTGTGTAAAAGAATAAATCGGTGAGTTCAGTTTGTCATCTCCACACTGTTTATCCACACACCAAAAGCCGCCCAGCCTGCAAGCTTCCCTGACTCTGCCTCCAGAAACATCG